TTTGTTGTGTCTCATTGTTTTGTTGTGTCTCATTGTTTGTTGTGTCTCATTGTTTTGTTGTGTCTTATTGTAGCACCACTGCCACCGGATAAAAACCCATTTGCAGTTAATAATAAATAAATAAATAAATAAATAACGTCCCAGAAGACAGTCATCTTCATTTTTATTTATACGGATGAGGACGGACAGCGATCAGTGACGGGGTCTTGCGAATAAGGAAAGAATCGAGGAATTCATTGTTCGGTGGAGAATTCCTTGCTCCATGGAGTCGATTAATATAAAGCGAATGCGTTTGTCTGTGTTCGCAGGTAAAAGTGTGGTTCCAGAACAGGCGAACCAAGCACAAGCGAATGCAGCAAGAGGAGGAGGCCAAGGTCCAGCAAGCGGCTGCTGCAAGCAACAAGAACAGTCATCACGTCACGAAGTGGAAGCAGGAGACTCAGGGACAAGGGACGGACGAGAATAGTCGGCAGCAGTACAGCAGCAGGGACAATCACGGGCACCACCAGGACGTCAGGGACGCTGACAGTTGCAGCTCAGGTTCCGAGACCTGAGTGTTCACACGCCTCCCTGAAGCCCTGTCTCAGGCAGCGAGGAAAGTGTGGACAGACACCCTATAGCTATCAGCAAGGTCTCTTGTCAGGGGTTACAGCCAAATATTACCAACTGTTGGTGTAAACTGTTACAAAGTGGAGGACAGATTTAAGAAATGCATTAGTCAAAAACATATTGATTTTTTTTGATGGGGGGGATAGGAAAAGATATTGTGCTCTTTATGAACGGATTAAGATAGTAAAATGTTTTACGAACTACGAAGGTGGCACAGTAAATGAAGTGTATGAGAATTTAATTTCTTCTGAGAGGAAAAAGTCAGACACCTTATGTTCTGGACTGTTATAGTCACTAGGGATTTTAAACAGTCTATACGACGCGATTTAGTTCAGGTAGTAGCATTATGAAAATATTATGTACAAAGTCCTTCTATCTATATATGTAGTTAAAACACGATTTAAAATAGGAACGGTTTCAATGACAATTTAACACATTCAGAAATTGTGCTGACTGATGAAGTCTCACATAATGCGACTATTCTGAACACTCAGAAACGTTAAACGTAACTGTACAGAATATTCTGAAATGACATACTGAAGGACAGCAAGAATTGAAATAAAATACTCTTTGACTCTTAAGAGTTAAGAGCAATTAAGATTAAGAATTGTCGATAACGATAGACAAATATATTAGCGAAAGTGAGAAATCTTTACAAATTTTACATAGAATTAAAAACAGCTATTCAAAATATACTTTCGCATTATTAAAAAAATTCCTTCCCGACTTAGTTATTTTATAAATATCTAGATTTCAACTGCATGTGAGAGAATTTAGAAATGCGGACTGTAAGAACGTACCAAATGTCGTATAACAAAATATTCACATAGAGTTTTTACATATGTCTGTATAACGTGGATTCTGAACAAAGGACAAATTCATGTGTTTTTTTTAAAATATAAAAGTACAAGTAGCTGACATATACAATATTTTCAGTTCAATTACACGAAAAAATCCCGTAATTTCTCTGTTTAACATAAATTCTTATTCAGGTATGATACGTTCAAGACATGGAATAATAATGTAAACCCACTTAAAATACGAAACGCTTAAAGATAAAATCACATTAGAATAATTTGCAAAGGAAATAAAATACTGCAAATGGAGGTATAAACGTTGTTCAAGTTCAAACAAGCTGTCAGAAAAATATGTTCCGGAAACGAAGTGTACCAATATCTCAAATAAAAGCCAAAATTTATATGGCTAATAACATAATTCAGAACGAGCTGTGTATTTATAAATAAAATATATCATTTAATTTATTATGGCGGCAATAACATGACATAGATACACTGTCAGAGAAGGAATTCTCTCTGTTTTGCCATATGCACACTTAATTCTAATTCAAACTAAAACACAAACAAAGAATTAGATAATACTAGAAATGCAATCTAATCTCGTGCCAAAAGTACCTTCATACTTTAAAAAAAACACCTAGTTTACATTCTTGTCTTTTCTTCTTTTAAGAGACTGATTGATTATTCTTGCGTAAATTAATTTCACCAACATGAAATTCAACATAAAGCAAAGTTATAATCACGATACTACTGGTATTAACAATATCACAACCCAGAACAACATCGTCGTTTATTAATTATTTCAGACAACATGAAACATGATTCGATGACATTACATTTTTCGTAGAATTTACACACCTTCGTAAGAAAAATACCTTCAACTCAATTATCAGGTTATGAGATTGTGATTCTCGTTGTGGGGGTGAAGTACGTTCGTAATGAACATTGATATTCACCTGCAAATACAGACACGGCGTCACAATCCAGTAATCACAATCGTCATATTCGCAGACGCGACAGCAACAAATCCCAATTATTACCAATACTTAATCTTAAGAGAACTCCTAACATTAAGCAATTTCTCAAGAGGCCCATCTTCTTATTTAATTTAAAAATAATAAGTATCGCATAGACGCAAGTTGAACATTTTTATCGGTATTGATTATTAATTTAACGAGCAACCAGCCATAAACTAACCTTTGATTCTTTTTAAAAAGCTACTAAAACTTGTTCGTTTGAATTTAAGATAGATTCAATCAGTCTCAAAAGAAACAATGCCAGCTCTTGTGTCAATATTTATTATGTAATGTGTTTAATACTGTATGTTTGAACTTCGAGTTTCCTTGAACGTATGAATATAATAATAATAATAATAAAAATCTTGGCCGGTGATATATTTTATTTCGCTTTAAATTTATGAATAGTTTACGTATTTTTTAAAATAAAAATGTATGTGTGATATTGTCACGTGATAATTGTATATACGTTTTATTATTACCTTCAAGCTATCTTTGTATAATTCAAAATTATTCTCGTTAGGTCAATTCCAGTAATGACACAAAATGTCCTCGTGTAAAATATTTATTTAATGTTTAATCTTAAGTCATATGCCTACTCAACTCTTTCTGAAAACTGGAAATTTAAAACAGCATCCGTGAAGATAGCAAATGTCTTTGTTGTTTGAAACTTCATATCATTCTAAAGTTCTCTGATGTTGGTGAATTAGCACTGTTATGATTCTTTGGTAAGACATTATCCATTGTCTCATTCTTTTATTAAACAATAATTTTGTGGGTAATGGGTTATGAAAGTATCCTACCTAAGTATAAAAATATATTTCTTGCCATTTTACGACGAACGTACGATATAAAAGTACAATAAAAATATGAAATCTTGATGAAAAGTTAAATGTACAGAATTTTTTTCCCAAATATAAATTATTTCCGTTACTAACCATAAAAATTTCAATTTTATTCGAAATTTACTTCAGACAAAAAAGCTTAAAGAAGAAGGCAAGAGTGATTATAACAAAAACGACTACAATAAAAATAGTTAAGATCTTTATTTATTTTTAATAAAATTTTAACGGAGAATACTCACAAAAATCGAGCACGTTGATTGAAAATTTCAATTTAATTATCCCAAATCAGTATCTAAATTATCAATAACTTTGTGATTTGAAATTAAATTTGTATGTAATTATCGCAAAGGTGTATTTAAGGGTTGACACGCTGTGTAATGTTTCATATATTCAACCTTACATTGAACTAGTGATAAAAACTTTATGTAAATATTGTATACACACACCCATACTGAACAGTCACAAATACTTCATGTGTCAAACTATGTAAATATGTGCAAGTCTTTTAAATCAGAAGCATAAAATTATATAATGACTGGTCACGGCAAGTGTGTTGTTATTGCCAACATAAAAACTAAATAGAAACACGAGCCTCTGGCAAATAATTAAACAATTTACTTAAAAAGTGCTTATTTATTATATTATATTATTGTATTAATTACAGACGTTCATGTGTAGAAGAAGATTGTCCTATACAATTTGTATCATAATGCGATGTGTGTTTTATCTTAAACGATTGTGACATAATCTCGACGTCATTCTGTTGTCATTGAACCCAGAGTGAACAGGGTCTCGGAAGGATGCTACTTTTAAAAGTTCCATTATTTTCTTTAAACGGCGAATCCTACAAAAATATGTCAAAAAGTCTGACTGCTCTTTCAAATAAATTTTGAATTTCCAAGAGTGTGATGTGTAATTTCTTTAAACCTGTACCTTGGTTTCTCAACCTCCAGATTCAATACGATTCACCATGCACTAGTTTTATTAATATGAACTTAGGAGAAACGTTACTGATACGCAAAAATACGTACTCAGGACTTTTAACTATGTGTAGTCTACATTTAGAAATTAGATCTAATTTTATAACTTCTGGGCATTTCTCGTGCATTTCACAAATAAAACGATCAATAAACACTGAATGATTCTCACTTATACTTAAATTCTGGTTTAGAAACTTAAGAAAGTAACAACACCCATCTTTCCCATTGCGTCTTAACAGATCGTGCATTATGCAGTGTAGTGACTTCAGAGGTGCCAAACGTTTAAGTCTGCAAAGATTTTCTGAAAGCTTCATTCCTGAGTTGAGAGTAAAGGAAGTTGTTGTTTTTTCAATCTTGTTTGAGCAGCAGGCCAGCTTAATGGCAGACTAATTTTATATCAGAACACCGTCGGAAAGCCATTTCTTTTAGAAATTTACACTTATTAGTTAACGTATAGTCAACTTTATTTCCCTCTTGCGAAATTGGTGTGGCTTGCGTTAAAAGTTTACTTCAGTGTTCCGTCTAGAATATAAATTAATTCAAAAGTAATATCCCTTGAGGAGTATAATAAAACGGTGAATTTAACAGCATCGATTGCCAAACCAAGGCCAGTGAGCCAGGATTGGCACGGCAGGTGTGAAAGTACGTCTATTGTAAACGCAGTAAAGAAGACTAGAAACTGGAGTTTCATTTGGTCGGGCGAGGTGGCGTAAGGATTTCGTGTTACTTAGCACCAAATATGTCATGAGAAATAGAACTATCACACTAGACAAAGGCTGTGGCTTTCGTAAAAGCAGGTCTACAGATGAAAAGATCAATTTATCTCATTCTTTATTTAAAACATCACAGCGTTAAATGTCGTTTGTAATCAGACACTATGATACGTCTTTTCATGTCAAATTCCCAGCCTCCTATTGAATTATATGTTTCAATACCGTCTTTATACCGAACGACTATCAAACTTTATCCGGAGACACGTTAATTCAACCCACAACCCACACACAACATCTTCAAGACCAGTATAAATATTATTTTCCCCTCCATGCCTATTTCTGCAAAGTGAATATCTCCCTTTATGTATTCCAATCAAAATTTTTGCAACAATTTTTGTGAAAAAACGAAAATTGAAAACAAATAAAAGACAACTTTTGTAAACATTTAAATCCTCATAAAAAATCTTTTGAAAATTTTGATAATGGATAACATATTACACTACAATTCTACTATCTGTGAAATTGCGATAATAGCATTAGAAATTTTGGTTGCAGACTTGTTCCGTGCTCTCTGATGATACGTTGTCACTTATGATAAGTTTTATTTCTTATCTGAAAAATTGGTTGCAACGACGGAGGAGTTGAACGCAGCGACGCAGAGTACAAATGACGATTCCCACACCAGAAACCGAACCGCGGGCGTCAAGTTCGAAGCCCGTTGCCGAATTCCTCCAGTCTCTACAATATAATTAAAATACGAACAAAATCTTGTCTATAAAGAAAAAGAACTCCCATATTCCTATTTTTCTCATATTAGCCCATTATCCACGGAAATAAAATTTAAAATTGGTATGAAGCGATACAGATAAATGTTGCTGTCGTGTTTTGTAGCGAACATTCAAGACAAGAATTAAGCAGTATACGTGTTAGTTTATTTCCCTTCAAGTAATGTTCGTTTACAACTTCTCAAAAATGTCTCCCGACTCGCATAATCTTACATTCAATGACCTCATTTTTATAGATCAACTGTTGATATTTTACAAACCGACACTAAATTATAATTTTAAGTGTTGTGGTCGCTAACAAAACGTAAAACAGTCACTTGAAAAGTTGCATTACAAGATATCTAGAATGGTTTCATGTGTCGTCACGAACAGGATGAAATAATATAAGACAAATATTTAGTCTACGTACAATATGCCTATATAAGTCTACACAGGAAACAATGCGACATAAAATATTTAAAATAAATCTTAAACGTATTTAATAATAACCGAAGAAAAAAAAAACGTAAGCAAACAAGCAACAGTGGAAGCTATAATTAGGATACATAATAAACTTTATAATAGCCCACAATTAACTTTAAAGCTCTTTGAATTATTATCGATCGATTATATCACAGTTAAACAAGTTTCGATTTTTATTCGACATTCTTCTCATGCTATTACATAACGTTCTGGGTTATTAGATACAAATTATTTAGCGTCATATAGGTCTGTCCATGTTATTATGATCCTTCGTGACGCAGTGACGACGTGCGGTGGCTTCGGTCGACCGGAAAATTGGCCGGTTAAATGCATGGCCTACCATAATTAGCTGTGTACTAGACACGACTTGGCCAAAAGCAGTTTGCCAGGCAGCCTCAGCTAACAGATGTTGGCCATTTTTATAAGGAACTCAACATATGTAAGTTTATTAAAAGTTCCTTAATAGATTATTTAAAGATGGATGTCAACTGAAGATATGATTTTGCGTCATGTAAGATGACTACATGATTATATTCGCTGAAGAGGGAAAGGACTAGTTAGGAAGCGGTCGTGATAGGAATTGACAAAGGTCAACAAAATCTATTGCCTAAACGAAACCCATTAGATGTAAGCCAGCTGCGTCATTGCTTGAGGTAATCGACTCAGAATATAAATCGATATTAATAATTAAATATACATACGTTTCTCTTTAACAGACGAAATTATTTGGTAGGATTTTCTAGCTCAGTAACTGGCCTCAAAATGTAGAAGGGTAAAACAATATTTATATGCGCGTTACGAAATCGAAAGATGTAAGGCAGTCATAATAATTAATTTGATAATACTTTAAAATATAAATACTTCAATAGATACCTGAAATAATTGTAAATGTTCCCTTTATTATTGAACGTAAATACCATTCGTTGACATGAAGGTAGCATAAGATATCTGATAAATTCGGCAGCAAAATACACGACCCACTTTAGGAAGACATATAGCCACAATTAAGTGATTTGACCGGCCATTATCAGATGCACCTATCGCTTATCCAGAGACTAAGCTATATCCGTAATTACCACATCGTTATCGCATCTAAATGCATAATTTATAAAACAAAATTTTCTATACAATATATAATCACCATCAATTTACATAAATCTGCTCTCAATCTTCGTGTTTCCTTTTTGTTCAGACCCCTTTAACGTTCGTCATTTTCTGCTGTTTGTAATAAAAACTTGCTTAGGTTAAATAATCGCTTCATATGTTAACACACTCACACTCCTTATATTTTCTTATTAATATCTGGAAGTTCCCATTGAGTTTTGCTTGTGTTCACCTCATTACATTCATGAAATTTAAAAAGCTGTGGACTTCTTTGTTTTTTCTCCTAAAAGAAATTTGAATTCAACGGTTACAGCGTCTAATTCCGTGTTTCACAGTCTGCCTTCAGGAACTGATGGCTACTCAGCTGCTTTTATGGTTTGGTTTATCACAGAATTCACAAAAGCCCCGACTTTGTGTCCAATCTTGGACACGTGTCTGCATTAGCACAACTTTTCACTATAATCCAATTCAAAGTTTTCCTGTCTGTATTTCTCCAAAATAACCTATAACTTTCAGATTTTGGAATAAAAATATCGTCCATGCGTGTTACATTACAATTCCAAATTTTGTTTTTATGTTTACATAAACGTTCATAAAAATGACCAACTCAATGGTTCACGGTTCTTCTCGAAAAGCTGACTGTTACTAAGTCGGGTAAAAGAATTAGCACAGTTATGATAAAAGCATCATCATTACCATGTTAACAAACGCCCAGTACTGGAATCGATCCTGAGCCATCTGAATCAAATCTACAATCTGCAGCTATAACATTCTAAGATACAGTTTAATCTTCATATAAAAGGGGGAGACAACTATTTGATTCGAATTGGTAGACCGAGAAAAAACTCGGTGTATACAGTCGAACAGAATAGGTAGTAATTATTAAGATTTTAAAATTTTAAGACTTTAAAAATTTATCACGTGTATACAGTCGAACAGAATAGGTAGTAGTTATTAAGGTTTTAAAATTTTAAGACTTTAAAAATAGATCACTGGTAAAGTCCAAAATAAATAAATAAAGTAATATCCTCAAACTGTTTTTCCTTATGAGGACAAATTTCATTTCGAAACAAGAGATTCGTTTTCTTTCGGTCATCAGATACCAATTTACGTAGATGTTCCTCGAATTCCAATAACTATACATAATATATTCCATCCTTCGTTCAAGAGAACTGATAAAAGCTAGGAAAGATTGAAAATAAAAGTTATTATCGTTTTATTCCTAATTTTATAGATCAAAATCTTTCCTCTAGCACATAGACAGATGCACGTAAACATATTTCCCTGTGCTAAATCAGGACACCCATCGTAAACATAGGCCATGTTTGTTTATTAGTTTAAACATAAAATTATAATAACACAGAAGGAAGTTCTTATACCACAATAAATTATAAAACGTTATCTTCTGATGACAATATATATTACTTTATATAAAAACAAATTACCGGTCCAATATAGCTATTCATTTGTCTGTAACTAATTTGAAGAAACGTTCGTGCCTAGGGTAGAACACCAGTCGTGACTCCATTAGTTATGAAGGTTCGGATATATACAAATGGTAGTTAATTATAGTTATACGAGATTTAAGTGATAGATTCTTACCATTCGAAAAAACTGCTCGTTAAATATTTTTCAGTGTGGTGATGATATCGCCGTACGAACGTTAAGGGGCAATCTTAAGAAGGCGCATACAGCATCTTGAAGCTCTGCCTTTCAAAACAGGCCACTTCTGGGACTGCCATTCTGTAGAAATGTATTCCTGTCAAGCAACGATGTTTACTAACCCTGTAAAGACCCGTGGTAACTATATGTACCATCTGTTTAAATAGTCAGTAACTTTACATGTTGAAAACAAGGTGC